AAGCACCAATTCCAACTAGTGAAGGTGAAAATTTTCATATTGATGTATTTTACGCAGATAACAACATTTTTCTATGACAAAAATCTAGACAAAATCGCATTGAAATTAAGAACTGTTCCATGGTTGGTCAGGGCGTCATGTGCCGCTCCCATGATTTTATTGGGAAGTATGGTTAATGCTATAAAATATGGTTCACTATTTATTTTGTATAAACTCATTGCTGTCTCTGCAGCCTCCATCCAGCCTACATACTGAGTTTGTTCCCCATTAAATTTTGGCAGAGCTTTAATCACTTCTAATGTTGTATCACAACTTATATTTGGATCAATTATCTGAATTTTATAATCTTCTACCGTTTTTTCCTCACTTTCTAATTTTGCCGATAATTCATTAATTTTTGTTGTCAATTCATTTATCTGGACGTTTATCAATCTATTTTTAATTCTGTTGTAATAGAACTGGATCCAATTCCACTACCTACCATGTTTGGTCCACTACCGGTTGCCATGTTTAATTTTTAAAAATTATTTATTATATCTTCCAGATTGTTTAATCGTTAAGTTTTTAATTTTTCAAGAGATATTATGTTAGTATTTTTTAAATGTAATGTAAATTTAATGTGTAACTAAGGATAAGCTTTTCTTTAATTTCTCACGATGATCCTGTCGTCCTTAATTAGATGTCCTGTTGGGTTTCTTCCTTCCTGCTATCTGTATCCAGTTCTCCTTAGTTAGATGTCCTGTTGGGTTTCTTCCTTCCTTCTTCCGTTGGATCAGTTAATCAGCTTGTGAATTTAATTAAATTTTTTTCTTTGTTTTTCTTTATTTATTTATTTATTTTTTATTTATTTATTTATAAAACTTTTTTTGTTTTATTGTTTTTTTTTGCTTATTCAGGTCTCTTCAAAAGTTCCAAATCACGGTCGCACTGTGTTATTAGATTCGTTTTTGTTTGTGTTGTTTTTCAGTATCCACGATTGTTTTCCATTTGTTAATTTGTTTTTCAGTGACCACGGTTTTTAATTTTTGAACACAGAAGGTTCTTTTAATGATTTTTATATATTTTTATTGGAGTCTTTGCCAAGACTAGTGGTCTTCGGTTTGCCTTTTCATCGCGAATAAATTGGGATATTTATCAGTTTTTGAGCCACGCTGGTGCTTTCTTTCTAATTAATTTTTAGAATCACCTTTATTTACATGGCCCCACGTTAGGCGCTAATTAAATTAATCCCAAAGTTCACTTTTTAAAAAAATAATTTTTTTATTTTTTAATTTTTATTTTAAAAAACTTTTTTATTTTTTTGTATTTTTTTTTACTTTACAAACTTTATTTAAACGCTTAAGGCTAGACCGATTGTAGGTGAAAGGCTTGCTCCCGGAATAAGACTGCCAATTTTTAATTTCCAGATAGCCAACAAACCTCGGCTTGAGAGAAATAACCCAAAAGGGTACTTGGAGAGAATAAAAAATTGCCCTAAGAGATTCTAAGAGAAAGGGACAATTTGCTGATGCAGTAGTTGAGTCATTTGTGAAGAGTGATAAGATCGGAAGATCGAACCAATTCGGACTGGTGACGGCGAGTCGGCTCTAATGTTTATGTCTGGCTTGGGCCATGGAAAATTTATGGGAATGTTTACAAGAAGAGCTTGATGTTTAGTCTGGATAATCTTTTGGGGGTCATCAAAAACGAGTGAGGGGAAATTAGGAGACAAGATAAGAAATGGCATGACGCATTCAGCAGGGGCTACTGCGTTTTGCAAATAATGTTTACATTGCCTATTTAGTGAAGCAATTTATGAGTTGGATAACATACATTTGACATATCACAATCATTTTATATATATATAGCTGTTCCCTGCTTTGATATAAATTTAGGCGTTATGAATATTTTCAGCCCAAATTTGAGAGATAATTTTCCGATTCGACCAATCAAAAAAGGTTGTACCTGCTATTTTATAGTTACAAAGCCCCTATTCAAATTTCTCCAAAACCCTTGCACGTATTCATTAAGTATTCCATCGCAGAAGGATTCCCATTTAACGAAGAATGGGAAGCCATTTTTATTTTCAAAAAGTGAAGGATTTGACGAAATAGTTAATCTAAATTTCTTCGTTGTGTCTGTGAGCCCAATAACACCTCGGAACATTATAATGTTTTTAAATGAAAGAGAGCAGACTATTAAAAAAATAGAAAGTAAAACATAAAATAATATTGCACTTAAAAAAATTTTTCAGGTTCATTTTAATTATGAATGTTTGTTCTTTATGCTTTAACATTTTGTGATTAATATTATATAAGATAACGTATAAAGACCACAAATATTTTAAATGACAAGACATATGAATTTCTACTATGACACTTGCTGGGAATCTTTAATGGTAAACTTAACAATTTGACTATTCATGCTCAACTGGGCATCCCTACAGTCAGCGCTGAAATTAGAAGATTCGCCGCTAAGTACAAGGACAGACTAACACAACATCCCAACACATGTGCCACCAATTTGCTGGACGGGAGCACCACCATCAGAAGACTCAAGTGGAAGCATCCACTGGATTTACTAAATTAACTTTTTAGATTCATAGCTTGTATTTATCAAACTCCTATTGTCAAGGTTCACTTAAAAAATTTAATTATTGTCCCTAACTGAGGACAGATTTTAAATAAAACTTTCAAATGTTAAAAAAAATAAAAATAAAAACTTGCTGGGAATCTTTAATGGTGAAACTTGATAGAATTAAATTGTCCAACATGAATAAAATGATCGAAATGATTAAAAAAGTTCACAAGTGACGAATATGTTCCAAATTTTTTCAGGATTTTGAAAAAAAAAATTTTAATTTAAATGTTAATATTCAATAATGAATAATATGAGACACGCCAAAAATAAAATAAATATCGCGTAAAAAAGAAAAAATCACAAAACAAAATTTGTTTAAAAATTAGGACAAAGAAGAACGTAATTGGGATGTAAAATTCCACAAAAATGCAAAACACCATCGAGTTTTATATTAAGTTAAAATTTTTAAAAATAAATGAATACAAGAAAAAAATAAAATTAAAAAGGTAAAAAAATAAATAAAATAAAAAGAGGAGATGACTTGTCCTTGTCAAAGTTCAGTGACAAGTGAAAATTGTATTCAGAGTGAGGCCTTTTTATACTGTTCCACATAAAAAAAATTGGTTGCTTTTTCCGAAGTCCAAAATACCAAAATATTATTTCAAAGTGGCCACATTAATTTTATGGATTATGTAAAAATTTTAATAGTTTAATTTTTTATATTTGACTCAAAGATCAGGCTCATAAACTACGAGAAAGGAAAGTAAAAATTAATTTTTTTTAGCGCAGCCGAAATTGATAAATCTTTATAGTGAAGTGGCAGTTTATATTATAAGATCTTATAATATAAGATATACATACATAAATCGGATTAGATATATATCGCAAATATCGTATGTAATTAGACAATTCTAGTGAGAATTTCATTATGAAAATAATTTTTTATATAATAAAACTTTAACTCAAGACCAGTTTTAAGTCCCAAGCTTCTACGTCCGCAAAATCCTACATTTTATCATTTTCGATCGTTCAATTATCAAATAAAAAAAGAAAGCATGGCTCTAGTCGAGTTTTCCGACTATATTATACCCGTTACTCATTTGTTTCACCCACACTTTAGGTTTGGTCAGGCTTAACACACTTAGGCCCTATTCGGTCCCTTGCGATATAGTGTCTTCCCTTGCCGTGTTTTGAAGATTTCTAGGTTAGTAGTTTGCTCACCCTGTTGGGATATAGGTGTATGAGGAGTCTGTTTCCCAGATGAAAAAGACAGACAGACAGTCTGTTTTCTGTCTAAGTGATTGAATTGCTGGGCAGTGGAAAATAAGATGTTTTACTGGATCGTTCCTGCAGCTGCGGCAGTAGTCATTATGGGATGAATTCATTTGCCTAGCATGTGTTCCCACAAGCCAGTGCCCCGTGATGACTCTGTTTGCCGTGCTGATTGGAGTCCTATCCATGCTAAGTAGTTGGGATGTTCTTTTATTTGAGATAAGAGTCGAATTTTTTTGAGGCTAAGGTAATATCAACACCCTTCATTTCGGGCTGGAGTGGTGTAGTGGTGCCTATACGAGCCAGTTCTTTTGCTATGCAAGCCGACTATATATTACAGCTGCCTTATAACTGAACGATCGGAAATGGTAATCGATTGTTCATTTTGATGCAGATCGATGGAGAATCGATATAAAAATCCATTAAGATACTCCGCTCAAGAATCGGGTAAATATTGGCAAAAATATGGGTATCGTCACTGTTTTTCCGAAACTTCAACTTGTTATTTTTTGAAGGTTATTTTAAATTGACCTTAAATGGAGGATAAAGTAAATGATTACGTTGATGAACGTCTTAGCTGAAATAGCTAAATACATTAATAGCCGAAAGTAGGCTGAGAAAATGTAGTTTCAGAGCTCGGGCAGAGTAATTTCCTATGCCCCTGGAATAGGGCCCTAATTGAGGACCATAAAATAAACCATTGAAAACCAATTTACAGATTTATTGTAGAAATCGAAATTTTTACAGTAATTAATTTTTGCATCATTCCATATAATGTTAACATTATATTTTAAGGCTTAACAAAATGTCCTTGGAAATAAATAGTCTTCTCATCGCGAATTAAAAAGGCAAAGGGATGATCGGCTGTAAATCTCATTTTCTCACAGCTCACACAGGCAGCAAGAGTCCCTTCAATAACAGCTTGCAATAAATGTTGGAAATGAATTATTGTCATTGTATATTTTTTTTAAATATTTACCAGTTGCAGCAGATGCTTCGGCACCTTCCTCGTTCACTTCCAGAAATGCTTTTTGTAGAACTTTACTGACTCTTGCACCTTCTGACACCGTGTCACTCAAGTCAGCAGTTCCGTCAAATACTGATTTAATTCCCAACTAATAAAAGAAACTATGTCATAAAAATGATTAATCACATAGGTAACTACCAACCTTTTGAAGTACCTTGACGAGTTTTTTTTCAAACTCAATTTTAAATTTTGGAATTTCTACGTACACGTCTTGTTCACGGAGAGCTCGGTCGAAGCCTTCGATCTGGCTTTCCAATTTACTGAGACCGCTAATAGAGTTTGGCAAGAATATTTGCATGGAGAGGCTTGAATTTCGATATGGAAGTTCAAGAACCTTGGCATCTAAGTCGGCGAATGTATTGGCCTTGAACTTGCCTTTTAGAGACATCATGTCCACCTGAAGTTCTTGGTTAGAAGTACGGAAAATTTTCTTCTTTGTATAAGTTTTGTTAAATGCATACTTCCATTCGCCTTTAAAGTAAATGGCATTTATAAGAACCGCTACTAAACCACTATCTATATCGTCAGGGTCGATAATTTTAGTTATTTTTTTCCGCGTATGCTCAGAGACCCAAGAGTTAATAGTCGCTGCCGCAGATTTGGGATTAACTACACTAATGGGCACTGCCTTGGCTTTGAAGGAGTCAGCCACGATCTTATTAAACTCTGGCAATAACTTCTTGTTATCGTTGACATAAATGCGATTCGCCAGCTCAAGAATTGCAACCCTCTCACGATTATGAAGATTTGTGAAGAAATCTCTGTATTTCTTCGCTACTTCTTTCCTATCTTCAGGCAGTTTCAGAACAGTTTGCATTTCCTTAGCCGTATTCCCTTTGGCTCCCATATACACCATGGCCATAACAATTTCGAGGGAGAGAGGGGAGGATATTATGTTTTTGTCCGCATCCTCCTTGGCCAGGATCTGGTAAACATCGTCGGTAAAACGAGCCGACACTGACGTGGCCAAAAATAGAAAAACTGAGAAGAATGGTCCAGCTATAAATGAATATCTAACGAAGGATCACACTAGTTTTCCACTTACCGAAGTACTTCATTTCTTCTTCATGAAAAAATGGAAGAAATCATTTAATTTTATAGTAAAATACTCTAATTAGAAATGTTGTGGTTAATTTGTATATAATATTCCGAGCAAATGCAATATTTTCAAATGCATATCTAATTATGTGTTTAAATCGTTCTGCATTTGTATACCAGGTTCTTGTAGAGTGCAAGGGTACATTGTCCTCGAGAGAATGTATGTTACATATTTAAAAGGGACCAGCGCTAAGCTCCAACCCAATGAAGTATATATGTATGTATATTTTCGATCAGTATCGACAGTCGAGTCGATATAGCCATGTCCGTCTTTTCGTATGAACGAGTGCATCTCAAAAACTAAAAGAGATAGAGCTATAGGATTTCGCATGGAGACTCCTATTGCTAATTTTTGTTAATTTAAGGGTGGAAGAGATGAGTACCGGGTATAATATAGCCAGGAAACTTTACTATAGCCGTCCATTCTTGTTTTCAGTTAATTTTCCTTAATTTGCAGTGCGTACACTGAAGGTAGAGAGCGCTCATTTGTCAAAATAATAATTGAACAATATTTGTTTGATTTAATGCCAGAGCAAGAAATGACACAATAAAAACAATGATGGCTTTATATTATTTAATAATTTTTATTTATAGTACCTCACTTTAAAAATTATGTTATACCAATATTACATTAAATGTTTGTTTATTACATGGGTTTTCGCTATTTGCCGGATGTTACATGGATTTTTTCTCAGTGTGTATGGTGTACTTCATCGTCTTGGGTTTTACATTTACGGTTTATAATAGATATTTTTGCAGTATACGCATATTTGATAATCCAAAATGTGCTATAATATTGTGTGGTTAAAGGTTACTCTTACACGTTTAGTTTAGCTTAAAATTTTAAATGTAATATTTTATTATTTTTACGCTTCTGTGAAATTGCCTTCATTTTTCGCATCGTTCCGTTCCTCATAGTTTCCACTCTAAGCTGGTTGGGTTCATTTTTTAATTGCTCTGGCGACAATTTTAACAAAGTTATTATGATATTTTGTTTTGTTGTTGATTTAACTCTTGTAGATGCTAATTCGTAGGTTTTAATTAATTTACAATGATATACAGTTTCGCTATAAAACATAATGAATCCAACTAAAAATAATAGGAATAGAATTAAATTATGTTGAGTTTAAGGTAAGCATATTGCATTCAGTTCTACGGGTCTATAACGCTAAAATAAATTAATTTGAAACATTTGATTTTTTAAATTTCAGATACTTTTCGTCCCCTGCTACCTCGGCTAACAATAAAGAAACTATTCAAATGTATTTACAACAAATTTATATTATTTCTTCGGACACGTGTTCGGCGTGGAGATGAAACCAAAACTAGTTGAAGTTACTTCAGATGGGGGATCCTAAAGATATATATTCGCTACGCTAGTGGAAGCTATTATACATGTTTTTCATAATTTCGTTTTTATTTCCAATATTTCAAAATTCAAAATATTTAATTTCTTCTCTCGACATTGATACAGTTTTTAAATTGTTTTTTTTTTTTTGGGAATCTATAACCGCTTGAAAGTGTTTCGCAAATATCGTAATTACTTTAATTTGATTTTCCCCTTTTTTTGTAATTTACTAATTTATAAGAAAATTGTACAGGTTTTATGTATCCATCTATATACGTGTGTGTATTTATTGGGCTTGCTTTCTTACATATGTTCTAAATCTTTGTTTTGAATGCGATTTCGAAAGGACAATATTTAGTGCTTAACATTAACAACGATTGCGGCTAACTTGGGCTGCTTCTGTTCCTGGTTGTCGCTCTGGTTTTATCAAAAATACATTTCATTCCATGTGTTGTTTCTTTTCCTTCAGATCTACACTTAGCATTGGCTACATTTATTCCTTAATTCAGTTGAAATCAAATCAAACGATAGTTGGTTGCTTCAGGGCGCTTTCAGTGAAATTCAAATAACTCTTCTTCTCGAACTCTCCGTCGGTTCTGCCTACTTTCTAATGGTTTTAATAGCTACGACCTTGATAATTTGGTTTAATTCTACTTTTAAGGTATTCTCCTGTTCCTCTCCTCTATCCTCTATCCTGTCTCCTCCTCTATGTTCAAACAGTGTGTGGTGGTTATAAAGCATTTGATTCATGTCATCGGGCTTGGGCATTGGACAGTTTTAGGCGCACTCTCAGTCTCACACTAAACGACACTAAAACTTGATTAGAAGAGGGGCGGGCGTGCGGGCGGGCGGTGGAGGAAAACTAGAATTCAATGTTCGGCGAAAATCGCAAGTCAGAGGATTACAACTATTTAAATATACATTTATAATTTATATATGTATGTCCATCGATAACAAGGTGCTGCTCAAAAGTGCGAGCCCAAAACTTAATTCAAAATCTTTCGAGCCTAGGCAAAGCAAAATTCATTTTTCTCCTACAGATCTAAGGTATGTGTATGTGTGTGTGTTGTGTGTGTGGGTGTGTGTATCCTTCTCTCCTACTTACTGATCTTTTCGCTTACGTGGCTAAAACAAAGGACTTTGAAAACCTATACCTAGTACATCTAAGTTTCGTATAATGTAGATAAAGCATATTTCTCTCGGTTTAAATATTTACATTTTATACACATCTCGACTGTGTAAGTAATGTCCTTTTCTCTAGTTTAACCTTTGTGATTGGTTGGTTTCTTCTCTATATCGCAAACTATATCTTCTCTTGCCCTTCGGGGGTCGATAACTCTCCTCTAACTGACTGACTACTACTCCTGCTTGGACAACAGCAAATGGAATCGGCGCAGCTGCCGCTTCCAGTGCTTGCAATTAAATCTAAACTTGATGTCCTTGGGCCCGGCCTGCTCCTCGTGGTGGACCTGCTCTCAACGCTTCTGCTTGCCGGCTTTCTTGCGCTTGCTGGTGCCGGTGGCCGCCGTCGGGGCAGACACCGCCGGTGGTGGGGCAACGTTGCTGGACGGCCCGCTCACCAGCGCCGAGATGCTGGCAAAGGGCGTGCTGCCACTGGTACTAGGACCACCTCCTCCCCCTGCTCCACCACCGCCCGCAGTGCTGCCCATTAGTGCTGCAGCATGCAGTGATTCTCAACTACGCTCCGGCGTTCCGTGGTGCTGATAGATCTGCTGGAGCTGCTGCTGCTGGCTGTGCACCACCTGACTGCTCGATGTAACCACGTCCTGTTGCATGTGTTGCGGATGGTGTCCCGGATGGGGAGACTGCTGCTGCTGCTGTTGCATGTGGACCACGTGCTGCTGCTGCATGTGCTGCGGCGTCGGTGGTCCCTGGGGCGTGCTGTGGTGCTGCGGCGTACTGTGATGCTGCGGCGTTGGCGGATGCGGCGAGGGACTGTACGGGAACTGTTGCTGCAACATATGCAACTTTGCATAAATAAATTGGTTATCTAGGTTAGTCAAAGCTGGCATTTGTGTGTGTTCTTGTGTGTTTAGACAAAGCAAGTGTGTGACTGCGTTTGAAGTCTGTGCTTGTGTTTGGTCTTTCAGCTGGGCTTTAGCTTCTGGCTGGAATACGTACCGAATTCTCCTGGCTGTGCTCGATAATCTCAATGCTGCCGGTGGTGTTGCCCGAGGTGTTGAGCAGCGCCACGCCACTCGTGTTGGCCACCACGTCGTACTTGCCGCGCTTGAAGCGTCCATATAGCGAGCTGTAGGGCAGGTTGTAGTGAATGGCCGCCTGGTTGATGGACATTTGGCCGACGCTGCGGGGGGTTGGTCACTTTCGGTTAAAGACTCCACACACACAAAAGGTCAAACAAACACTCACCGCACTGAGTTCAGGGCCTCGTTCATGGCATCCTCGGACCAGGGTGTTGGATTCGAGCGCGATAGCTCGATGCCCTCCCGCTTGCAGCGTCCGTAAAGTGTTCCTTTTGTTCGGGATTGGAGTGAAAACAATGTATTAGTGGTATAGCCTTAAAAGTTTACACAAAAGGCTCTCCATTGATGCCAAAATGAAGAGGCCTTTGCATAGCAATGCTTATAAAGGCCAAATAATCATATTATTTTACATTATTTTTTTTTATAGAATTTCAAATATTTTAAATAGACTGTTTAAATGTTTTTGTATTAAATTTAAACAATTTAACCAAAATTAGAGGAGAATTAATATAAAACTAAGTGATATTTTATTTAAAAAGAATACATGGAAACAAATAATAGCTATTTTTGTTGTTTCAGTTTAAGATCATCTCCTTTAATCAAAAGTCTTTTGCCATGAGCTAGGATCTCAGGTATATAAAATTGGTAGTTTTTTAAAGGCTCTTGCTCTAATAGCTTATAGAAATAATTATATGCATTAGTTGGATTAGGATATAGAGTAGAAAATAGACTCTTTATCGACATCTCGGAGGTGTCCGCCTCAGATCAAAACAGGAAACAGAGCTAGTCTGTTAGGTTTCTTCGCCTCCACCTAGGGAAGACCCCTAAGGATTAGTCTATTAGGAAAGACGCACAAATACAGTAACATAAAAACACATTCTAAGTATGTGGCGGTTTCTAGATGAAACCTGGCTGCCGTCTTAACTCAACAATACATAATCTTAGTTGGATTACAACTAAAAATATCCAAAAGTTTCCCAAAAAGCTGTTTAAAACTATAAGGAATTGAACTGAATTTATAAGGACAAGTTACTATTTTTAAACTATGTTTTTAAGCAAGCAGGTTTATCCTAAATATTAATTCTTTTAAAGATACATAGATCCTTAAAAGTTCTTAGCATCTGGAAAATGTTAATAAAACCCCCACCGAGTAGATAACAATTCAACGATGAAGAAGCAATGGAAGTTACGAAAGGGAATCCAACGATTGGATTTCGACATCCAACGATTGGATTTCCGGGCGACTCACCTGTAGGTATGCCAAACTCAGCACTGGCTTTCTGGACCGATGTATTGCCCGCCCGTATCGCCTCCAAGGCGCGCTCCAGATCATCGGGCGTCCACGTGGTTGGGGCGGCGTTGAAGGGAGCCGCCAGGCGGATGCCCTCCCGCCGGGCGATCTTGTAGAGCGTCGAGGAGGGGATGCCGAAGGCCTTGGACGCTTTGTTCGCGGATATCTGACCCGAACGCAGCGCCTCCAAAGCATTCTGGAGAGCATCCTCGTTCCAGGACTTGGTGCCGCCCTCCTTCTTGGGCGTTTCGATGCCCAGCCGATGAGCGCGTTGCCACAAAGTGGTCGATGGGATGCCATAAATGGCGGACGCTTTCGTCAGGCTCATGTTTTGGTTCTTTAATGCATCTAAAGCTGAATTCATATCATCTTGTGTCCAAGCTTTGGGACCATTAAACTGACCTTTCTCGCCAGAGCCAGAGCCAGCACCACCACCCATGCCCCCACCGCCACCAGCACCGCCGGGCCCCGGCCCGCACACGCTGCCCCCCAGACCACCGTGCTGCTGATCCAAATTCGTGTAGTGCGGCTCCTTTTGATCGTGCGGCGAGCCGTTGGCGATCATCATAGAGTCCTCGCTCGTGTCCGAGTTGTACATGTCTGCCAATCAAGATGGTATAGTTAGAATCATCACTATCATTAGAACCTCATATCGAACACTCACCCATGTGCCCCGTGGACATCATGTTGACAATCTCTGGCGTTATGATCATGCCCGGCTCGTGCTTGATCTGGCTCGGGTCGATCTCCATGACGGTGGCGCCTCCGATATCGGCGTGCGACACATGTCCCCCATGCTGGCCGTGCACTCCGGCCGCTGCTGCTGCTGCCGCTGCGGCCGCCGCTGCTGCCTGCTGCTGTTGCTGGTGGTGCTGCTGCTGCTGTTGCTGCAACTGGCTCTGGGCCAACAACTGCTGGGCATGCAGGTGTTGCTGCTGCTGTTGTTGTTGCTGCTGCTGCTGTTGCTGCTGCTGCTGGGCCTGGTGATGGGCGTGTTGCTGCTGGGCCTGGTTGAGGGCATGCTGCTGGGCAGCGGCCAGGTGCTTGGCCTCGATCACCTCGCTCTTGATGTGCACCAGATTGGAGTTGCTTTCGTCGCCGTGGTGATGCGAAATGGAGTGCATGGGGGACTGGTCGAGCCGGTGGATCTGATGGGCCAGGTGATTGTCTATGTCGAGCGGTTCGGTGGGGTCTAAGGGGAAAAATTCATAAAATATATTAGTTAAAGACTTTAAATTTAATAAAATTTGTTAAAAGATAGTTAAGATGAAGATAAAATACTTTTATTTTTAAAATAACCCCCTTTTTCAGGATGAAACTGTTATATTCATGCCCGGTACTTGGATACGTGCGCAAGTATCGGGTATCTTTAGTCGAAAAACTCAACTAAGGTCACACTTTCTCGCTTTTTAACAAAAATAATAAAACTAACATATTTGCCAATTAACAAGCTAAACTAACAAATAAAAAAGCCCGAGTCTTATACCGATATGGCTAATAATATTGTTTTTGTATATTATCCCGGGACTAGTGTCTGGATTTATTTAGTCGAAAAACTCAGCTAAGGTCACACTACCTTGTTTTATACCAAATTTACTTACAAATAATGGATTTCAGGTCTAATATGGGTTATGACATATCATCTATCTTACAGGAGTTATAAGAACATCCTCTCAAACATAAACCTTTAAATACATTTTTAAAAACAAAAAGTTCTACCAAAATATGATGATATTTTATCCAAAACTAAGAAATTAAATCTCATAAAAGACCTTCTTTATATATGGAGTATTTTTTTATTATCTTGTCTATTTGTTGCGTTCTTTTAATAAAGAAAGTTAAAACATACGTAAAAAGAAAGTTTAAACGTAATAACGTTTATAGTTCCCTAATCAAAAATCTGAACATCTTACTATAGTTTCAAGCCCTATTTTTTCTTCATTTAATATTATCCTTCATTATCTTCTGTATGTATTATGTTCATTGGAGTAAAAAATAGTTCATAAAAAAACAAAAATAATCAACTATTCTTCTTACTAGTTCCTTCCCGTATTGTTACCATATAACCTTAACCTTTATAAAGCCAAACCCAATATACATACATCCATGAAACCCAATAGTATAAAAACCCAATGGCTACACTACCAATTACTCACTTGATAGATCGCGTGTGTCCGTACTAGGATTGCAGGACAGATCGACATGTTCCGTGACGGTGACTGGGGTGGCGGATGGTGCTGGTGGCTCGGGTGTGAAGTCCAGGAATCCCATGGACACGCCCAACAGGCCGCCGTTCTGCAGACGGATGGAAATGCATTTCAAGGAAAGAGAGAAGCGGAATGTTTGGTTAGCAAGTGATTAGAGCCCTCCCCCCCACATAGGGGGGAGGAGGGATGAGGTCTCTGACTAACTAACTGAGAGAGTAACTGGGATATGATGCTCTCGCATCCAACTAACGAAGCCAACTTACCATGCCCATGCCTAAACTAGTCATATTTTTTGTATCTTTTCCGTCGCGCGCTACTACAATTTGTGTGACGATGGCTTGGCCGGAGGATGTGACGCCGCTCACGCCCGCAGCATTGTTCGAGGCGCCGGATGAATTGGATGCCGGCGAGGCCACCGACTGCTCCGTCTTGCAGATCTTGTTCGGCTTGTTCTCGTGCTCGTGGTCGTGCGAGTGTGGATGCGAATGCGAGTGCGAGTGTTCGTGGTCGTGTCCGCCGTGCTGCTGGTGTCCGCCGTGTCCGTGTCCTTGTCCTTGTCCGCCGTGCTCGTGATCGTTCTCGGTGTCCGATTCGTCACCGTTCCCGGACACTGGTATGTAGTTGCCGTCGGCCGTCTGCTGCAGGCTTACAATGGATGCCTGGTTCTGGCCCTGGATGAGAATCGTTTGGGAGTGGTGGTGCGCCGGCTGGGGTTGCTGTTGCGACGAGCCGCTCGATCCCGCTCCGGAACTAGATCCGCCGGGGGGTAGCTGCAAGTCGGGCGACTTGGATCGCTTGAGCCGCGACTTGCGAGGCGTGGGCTGCAGGCCCGATGCTGACTGTCCGCCGGCAGAGCTGCCACTGCTGGCCGTGGAGCTCAGTAGCTGTCCGGCTAGGGGGATGGCGCCTCCGCTGCTCACTCCGTGTTGCGTCAACAGGCCGCCACTCAGTTGCTGCTGGGCATGCACCTGCTGTTGCTGCTGCTGCTGCTGATGTTGCTCCTGAAGCTGAGCCTGCTGCTGCTGCTGTTGCTGCTGCTGTTCGAGGGATGGCGAGGGTGCCCCGGGAACAATGGTGGCATTCACTATGTTGCCAACAACCGCCTGCTGGATGTTCTCCGACACGGTTATCGTCGCTGTGGCTGCGTCGTTCAGGTCATCCGCGTTCTCCGCAGTCTCGCAAAGTCCTTTGATTTTCAGCTGCTCGGCGGTGCGCAAGAGGCCCTGCAAGGATTCCAAGGAGAAGATCACGATTAGTCTAATTTGTAAGCTTTTCACATAAGATTCGGTGGTCATCTCCCTGGACAATTCACACGTTTTCAATATAGAATCGAGCTTCAATCGGTTTGATTGAAAAATTGCCTATTTCTCGGAGAGATGAAAGAGTTCCAAGGACCACGCCCATGTCCAGACACCCAGGGGAATACAAAGCAGAGCTTAGGTGGACACCATGGAGTGTGTGTGCTTTTTTTCGGGGCGACTGTTTGTCCGTGGGGCTGTGTGACAGTCATTACGGCGTCGCTTGTCTTGGCATGGCCACCAGTGTCCACTGGTGTCCGGAGAGCTGCTGGCCAACCCTTCCCGGCCAGCAACACTTTCGCCGCCGGCAGCAGCGACTCCGCCCACTGGTACACGGTGGAAAAACGGGGGTTTCCTTCGGATATTAAAACTAGTTTTTTTTTTTAACCTAACTAGGGAGATGGTTGAGGAGTGTCTTCCTCGAACTACCTAGTTTTTATACATTTTTTGATTACATTTTTCTCACAGTGCACCCTCTCCTCTCACTCCCCACTGCAGTTGGCAGTCGCCGCAGCAATTGGACAGACAAATATTTACTTCAGAAGTTCTTCTTTCTTTTAAGCAGTGCCCCAGCCCTCCCCTCCACCGCCCTCTCCCTCTCCCCATGCATATACATATATATATTTTTTTCCATGCTTCGCATTTTAAATTAAAAATACGGAAAAAACACTACGGCTCACGCACACTCCGCTGGAGCTGCAGAGCAGTCTCCGGAGGAGGAGGAGGAGGAGGCTGCTGAAGAAAAAATTCTTATTACCGCCTGGCTGGCAAATGGAAAGGGGGTTGGGCGGGGGATGGGATGGGATGGGTGGGGGTTGGGTGGCGGACGAGGTCTCCTGGCGAAACAGAAAAGAAATTAAGGCAAAAATTGAGTAGGTTGAAATTTGTGTACCCGTTCCTTCGGTTCGCTCAAGCCGCAAAGAAATGTCACCCCTCGCCCCGCCCACTCCCCCTTGGGTCCACCTACAGTTGTAAAAAAAAAGAAAAGAAAAAAAGAAAAAAAAAAAAGAAAAGAAATCTTTCCTTCTTCGACAGGAGGGAGGAGGTCCAGCAGATGAAGAATCCTTCGAATAAATGAAAGAAAAATTTTTCCTCCTGTAGATGCAAATGGCAGGCGCCGGAAACGGAACTGCAAAGGCGAGGGCGGAGAGGGCCGAGGAGGGGGTGTGCCAGGAAAGGATGCATGATTGCTTGGCTATGGGAGTGTGTGTGTGCGAGGATTTCGGACCATGGACCATGGGCTGTGGTCGCCAACGCCACTTGCTCTGCTCATCAACGCCGCCAAGACTTTCGTCCTTCGTCCCCTGCCCTCCACCGCCTCCTCTACCTCCACCTCCTCCTCCCCCTTCCTATTTATTTATTTAAGTTCAAAAGAAGGAAAAAAAGTACATAACAAATTTACGCAACTTTTTTCGCAGCGTTTCTTGGCCCTTGCCGCACACTTTATTAAAAACAACAAGAACAAAAAGCGAAATGGAATAAAAAAAAAAAAAAGAAAGGAAGGAAAGGGGGTAGAAGGGCCCAAGAAATTAAGAAGCAGCGCCAAAGAGTTCGGCTCAGAAATTTAAATAAATTGTGGGCAGAAGTGGGCGGGGCAGGGGCACGAACCCAAGGCGACCCGATCCCGATCCCAATCCTTGTTGGCACATTTTTTTTTTCCTTCCACTGCCACTGCCACTCCCACTGCCTCTCCAGCCTCTGGGTTTCCATTTTTTTTTTCTCATCTTCGAAGCAGAATTTTTCCTTGTTTTTAATTACGACAACGAGAGAGAACACAGGACGCTCTAATGGCCGTGAGGGGCTCACCCGGACTTCGGACTTTGGACTTCGGACTCTGTCCGGGTCTTATGTAAAGCAATACATATAGGAGTACGCCGGAAAAAAGGCTGCGTGGCCAAGTCCTGCCAAGGAAGTTGAAGAAAAAAATTGGCATTGGGCTGTGCACACACACTCCAGCACACACACAACCAGGTATACATATATATGAAGCCGAAAAAACAAGCTCTGGAAAAAGGATCCAAGGAAACGGCAGAAGAAAAATCACAGCCACCGCCACCGCCACCCACTCTGGACTGGTTTTGATAATCCCCCACTGCAGATTCCAATTAAAAACTCTTCATGTGCTAAAGTCAAATCAGAGAGATGGAGAACAGGAGGAGAAGAGAGTCCAGAGAAGCTTCTCCGCCAGCCAATTCCCATTCCTATTGAAATTCTAACGCAATTAGTGCATGAAACTAAAGCGCCAATGCTGCGTATGAGTGATATATAGCTTAAGAGCCACAATGGAGTCTCAGTTCAGGTCTCAGGTCTCAGGACCCTGTCTCTTGGCTAAAACAGAGTCCAGTCGGGCATAATTGAAAAGCTGGTCTCAGGCTGACAACAACAGTGGCAACAGCGACAACAAAAACTAGATGAAAGCTAAAAAAATGAGCCATCAAATGGTTGGTAAAGAAAAATCGCACACCCACTGCCCCCCAGTGGCAGGAGCAGAGGAAGGGGCATGGGCAGGGGGCAAAATGCAAAAAGGCACAAGCCACGCTGATCAAAGAGGCAAAATCTGTCTGAACCATAAACGAACGGGCTCCGATAGGCATCAATGCGACCATGAATGCACAAAAGACGTTGCCTAAGAATCAATTAAAAGCTGGCATCAATGGCATTACGCTTTCTAGTTTAGTACAAATTTTATGATAGATTCCAAGATTTTGCACCTTTTTCAAGGGCCTTGGAGGCCTTTTTTAAGGTTTAAATTTTAAAGAGTTAAAGTTTACTTTTATTTTTTCAAATTAACCAAGGGTCTAGGGTCTGGCATCCTCAAGAGCACATTTAGGGCCTAAAGGCCGTTTTTTTTACTATTATAAAGGCCTACGTTTTTTACTATTACATTATATTTTTTTATGCATTATTATTTTCTATAACTATGTATTTTGTATATTTTGCTTTTCCATATACTTTATTGGCTTTTTTTGAAAATTGAATTGAACGATTTTTAACTATCAAGAAACCCGGTACTATAATATTTTGTTCCTGTTTGTTACTTTTCGTTATTGACCTAGAATTCCTAGAAAAATTATTCCTTTTGTCTCAAATTTGACTATTCAATACCGGCTACTTCCCTTATTCCCTTTAGAAAGTCTCCCCTCTAGAGTTCCATAACGTATGTATTTAAAGTTTCAACACTTCCCTTCAATGTACACCTTTTAATATTAACTATATAATACCCGGTACTCCTCTGTTACGATTCCCCAAATTACGGCAAGCTAAGTTCCAGATTCTGCCTTCTTTGAATGCATTTAAGGAGCTTCACTATATCCTTGAAATTGACTCCTTTTATCTTAACTTATAATTTTATTGTAATGGCTATATCTCTAGTATCTCTAGGCCTCTGATATAATCTCTTTCCTAAAAAAACAATATATCCTTTAAAGTTAAAACTATTTCGTCTTGACTGTACGACACCCGGTACTCCTCTGCTCCCCTTCAACATTTTTGGGCCAGAACTTTAGGATTGTTTTGTTCTATCTATCATCAACTCATTTAAAAATGTCGAAATCTAATTGATTTTTAGTGTGATGTAATACTGTTACAAAAAATGAATGAAAAACATCTAAAAATACTCCCCCCACACCATTTCGAACCATTTAAAATCCTTCGGACTAGTTACCCCTGTAATCAGCTTTTCCAGTTTTTTTCTTTGAAGAAAGAGACTCTTTCTTGGAACAACGCCTTTCTATTATGCATCCCCGTATTCGGCCGTCAAATAATCTCGATGGGACACTTAAGCCCTTGCTTCCGAGCCCAGCCTCGGTCTCAGGATGTCTCAGGTACAGTCTCAGGCAGAGATTCTAGCCAAACATGGGCCTGCCAGGACAACACAAAAACGGGAAAAAAAAAGCCAACAGGAAAATCGATAATTACTAATGTAACTAAATACAATTAAAAGCACAACCCAAAAAAAAAATGGCACACAAAAGGGAAAATCGCGGCTGCCTCATACAGAGACAAATGAGCGGAAGGAAGAACAACATCGAGGATGACGATGGCGGTGGGCGCTGGGAGTGAAAAGTACAAGGGAAAAAATCGGAAAAAAATGCGCTTACTTACAGCCCAGTTGGCAAATGGGCAACCCAGGATGCTACCCATACCAGGGACCTTCTTCCCGTGCTTCTGCCCCTGGCCGGCCACACCCCGAGCCACTGCCATCAAAGACAATGGCGGGCCCATTCAAGGGTTTAAAATTTCACCATTTGCATTTTTTTTTTCGCCTCGAATCCTGTACAAACCCAGGCCCAGTCCACACTCTGCCGCCCAGTAATTTCATTTCATTTACCATTTTTTATTTCTATCCTTATCTGGGTCCTTATTATTTTTTCCCTTCCCCATTTTTTTCCCATTTTTTGGCTGCATTTGTCACTGGAGTGAAGTATAATTTTTGGGAGTCGAATCGCAGCTTGATTAAATGCCCATTGAAGATGAACGATTTTGGTCGCCTTTGCTGGATCTGGCAAGAGGCAGATTACACGCCAAGGAGGCATCTCAGCAGGATTGTAACTGAATCTGAAGTACATGTCACCATTTGTCTATATCGAGACCCAGACCCAGCCGCCCACGCCCAAGGGTTGAAGTTTTTGAAGCGTCGAGAAGCAAAATAATTGCATGCAAATGAGCCACTGACGTGCTGCCCGGGCATCTACATAATCCCACCAATGCCGATAGAGGTGGCGGTACGAGGGTGCGGTATCTGGGAAGAAGCATCCCGGGATATACAGAAATCTTGCATGGATTTGCATTTTGACACGTTTCCTGCTACAAAGTAGGATTTGTGTCCACATCGATGAGTCAATAAGGGCAGGAAAGTTCAACCTTCTTAGGTGATTAATAGCAATATTTACCCTTAAATTGGTTCCCATTTTTTAGAAGTTAAT